AAAATGAATAAATAAAATACATACAAGTTTTCTATACATAAAGTACAATTCATGAACTCCTAAGAATAGTAGGTGTAATTGTCATATCTTGTAGTACTGAGGAAACAATCCTGAAATGCACTCGATTGCATAAGGATGAGTTTACGAACTTCTGACATATTTTCGATTTCTCTCTTTAAAAAGTAATAATCTTGTTTTTCATTAATAACTGGATCTTATATTAAAAGTTTAAATTAAATTTCTTGATTAACATGTAATAATTGTGCATATGGAGGAAGCACAGAGTGATAATGTAAAAAATGCTCGTACCACACGTGATCAATTCAGGGCAATCAGCGCTTTCTTGCTCTTGTCAGTCCTTTCTGTTTGGAATCTTTGTGCTCCTCCCTTCCAGATCTTCATAAAATATTATAAAGCACTTTCAAGTTCATATCAAAAGTTAAAAGGAAAATTCAGAGTTCTTTATTTGCGTTTTCCCCAATACGACTCTGCTTTTTCTACTGTGTGCCTACCCCGGGGGCACAGTTGTTACAATTGATTAATCAGCAGCAGCACAGCATCAACCGAAGTCCACAGCCTACAGAATTCATTCTGTGTCCACATCCTCTTAATTTTGAGAAACGTTTAAGCATGTGTTCATCCTTATAGTATTGCAAAAAATAATACACTGTGGCACACATCCTTTCTGGATTGACTTTCACTTGGCAGCATGCTGCTAAGTTTCTCTCGGATCTCCTTAAAATTTACTGTCATTCGTGCTTTAGATTTTAGTCATTCTAATGGATGTGTGGCAGAATCAAACTGTTGTTTAAGTTGTAATTCCTTGTGGTATGTATGTTGATTTTCTTTTCTATGCTTATTTGACATATTTGTCTGTCTGTATATCTTCCTTGTTGAGGTGAAAGTTCAAATCTTTTGCTCAATTTAAAATCAGATTGTTTTCTTCCTGCTAAATTTAGGAGTCTATTATGTATTTTGGATAATAGTCCCTTATCATGTATGTGTTTAGAAAATATTTCCTGCCAGTCTGTGACTTTCTTTCATTCTCTTGACAGTTTTTTACCTCGGAGCAGACTATTTAAATTTTAATAATGACAACTCATCAACTTTTCTTTCAGAGATTATCTCTTGATGTTGTATCCAAAACAAATTACATTCTAAACCAAAATTCTATATATTTTTCTCCTATGGTGTCTTGTCAAACTTTTATAGTCTTTCATTTTACATTTTGGTCTGTGAACTAATTTGAATGAATTTTTTTTTTGTAAGGAAGGGTGTAAATTCAAAATGCGTCTAGATTTTTTTCTTTTATTGCATGCAGATGTCCATTTCAATTGTTCTAATACCAATTGCTGAGAAGTTGATAATTTCTGCACTGAACTGTCCTAACCCCCTTTTCAAAGATCAGTTGGCTGTATTTATGTGCTCTGTATTCTGTTTGATTGATCTAGTTGCCTTTCTGTTTGTTATTATTACACTATCTCAATTACTGCAACTTACATACTAAGTGTTGGCGTAGGGTAGGGTCAGTCCTCTGACTTTATTTTCCTTCATTTTTGTGTTGGCTAAATCTTCTCATCATTGTGCCCCATGTTTGCTTCAAAAGCTTTAACAGCAGTTTAAAATAGAAAAGACACTATTGAGAGCTTTCTTATATTCCAGAAATGAGAGAAAGAGAGAGAGAGAGAGGAAGAAGAAGAAGAAGAAGAAGAAGAAGAAGAAGAAGAAGAAGAAGAAGAAGAAGAAGAAGAAGAAGAAGAAGAAGAAGAAGAAGAAGAAGAATTTGTTTCTAATTTAGCTACTTTTCTACCTTTTTTAGTTCTAGAAAAATCCATGACATTCTTGACCAGTTACAAGATCTTGTAAAACCATTGGGCAGCAGCTAATCTCCTACCCTCTACAAATGATCTTATAAATTTTTGGTATGCTGTCTCATATAAAAGACAAAATATTTTTTGGAGCAGTACTAAAGGTAAAAGAAAGGACTGAAATATTGAAAATGTTGATATGAGATGAAATAAATTATCGAGGATGAATTGTGGAAGTAAATATTTAATGTTTCATTTGAGGACAGAAGACATTAAATTACACACATTACACACTAAACACATTGCAGTACCCTGTAACACTCATTCCCCTAAAACTAAGGTGGACTCTTGACTTATGAACTCAATTCATTTGTGAGGGCTGGTTGTAACTCACATTGGTCAAGTGAAGACTCAGGCTCCTCTACACAGCCTTCAAATTCTCTCTCCTGTACCCAGGCGCAACTCAGTGTCCTCAGAGACACTAGCCCAAGATTTCTCAGTTAACCCTACATAGGAAAATATGTGGTAATGTTCCTTGTAGAAGTCTTTAAGGTGAAATTCGCATCTCAGACCATCTGTAAACACAAGCTCACTCCAGTTTTAACTTAAGGCATTTCTTTGTAAGTTAAAATCAAAATTCCTATTGTAATCTAAGTTGTTTGTATGTCAGTCCAGTTGTAACACAAAGGTCCACCGTCTCTTCCACAAAGTAAAAGCAATGTTTTTTTTTTTTTTTTGCCATTTATTTTTGATCATGCCAGTCTTGATTATAAACCTTATCACACTTAGTGTAAGAAAAGGATAAATTAAAAAACCCAAATCATTTCAGTTTTGACCAACATGCAGTAAGAGAAACAGAGTTTACCCTCCCACCTGAAACAAATAGTAAACTAGACAAAATATATGCAACAGTGTTTTTTTATGCCCTGGACATTGATCTCTGAGGGAAAAAAAGAATGAAGGAGTAATAAGATGGTACTCATTTATTTCCCGGAACATTTTTGGTGAACTACAGAAAGGGGACACCAAAACAGAGCCCATAAGTCTTCATAAGCCATCAATAGCTCAGAGGTAGAATAGGAAAGCCAAGGAGATCTGCAAAGCCACCTCCTCTAGTCTTCAGCCGAATTTAATCACCATATGTGTTAAAACTACACTAACCTTAGAAAAGAATGATCCAAATGAAGCACAAAGAGAATAATCCTTGAAGATCGCACAAGACTGAAAATATGCTCTAAACCCACTAGCCAGAATGGAAAGCTTCACGGTAAGAAGCTGTATTTGAGTTCAGAAACATTGTCTTAACATGGAGTAAAATTGGCCTAGACCAAAGGCTACTATGGTAACATCTAACAAAGCTTTTGGAAATGCTTCAAGAAAAGCATTTCTACTTCCAGGAAGTTTAAAATAAAGGACTGAAATTTAAAAACATAGAAACATAAAATATTCAGTTTCAAAAAAACCTATAGTATCTAAAGAAGCAGAGATTAGTACATAATCTGGAAAGTTATTGGTGATATAAACAGATAAAACACCACCAATGATACAATTGATAGTTATTTAATCACTTATTGAATATTGATGAGAAGGAAGATGAAAGATAGAGCATCTTTAGTAGATAAGATAAGCATAAAGAGAAGAATCAAAGTTACATTTCTAAGCATGAGAAACAATGCTTGAGAAAAAGTATACTATATGGTATTAATAGCCTATTAAATACTGTGAAAGGTAAGACCAGTAAACTTGGAGACACAGCATTAGAAATAAATAAAAACAAAACAGAAACACCGTTCTAATAAGAGAGGAAAACACCAGTAAACCAGGAGATGACTTTTCACAGATTAGAAGTGTAGTGATGAGTTACAAAAGATATTCTTCTCCTTCTTCCTCTTCCTCTTCCTCTTCCTCTTCCTCCTCCTCCTCCTCCTCCTCCTCTTCCTCTTCCTCTTCCTCTTCCTCTTCTTCTTCTTCTTCTTCTTCTTCTTCTTCTTCTTCTTCTTCTTCTTCTTCTTCTTCTTCTTCTTCTTCCTCTCTCTCCCTCTCTCTCTCACTCTCTCTCTCTCTCTCTCTCTCTCTCTCATTTCTGGAATATAAGAAAGCTCCTGTAACTAGCAGGTTCCAGTGCAAGTGTCTGAAAAAAGAACATGGTAGGTAGCTCTACGAATGCCTTCCATATCACTATATTTTCAACATGTAACAATATTTGAAATGACCAGTGATCAATTAGGATTTTTGAAGGAAGGGAGTTTCTATTGGTCTTGATTTGTAAAACCCAGTGTTCATCTGCTCATAGGAGGAAGATATTGTTCTGTGCATGCAGATGCAGCAGAGAAAACAATCCAAGAGTTTCTATTCCAGTGTGCATGCGTGTGCATTTGGGTACATTAATGATTATTTGGTGAGGGTAAAATATACAAGTAAATTAGTAAGTGAAAAAGATAATTGTAGATACTGAAAGGCATTGTGAAGTTTAAAAAACATTGATCTTATTTGGACTGAAGGTATTTTGAATGGTCGAGGAACTCTTTATCAAGAAGGTAATATTTAAATTCTTATTTCTAGAAAGAAGGAATTCATCACTCAAGTTCCAGGGCCAGGATTTCTGCAGGTACAAAAATCAGCAAGTGCAAGAGCCCTAAATTAAAAAGTGAGTGATGTATCAGAGAAGAACAAAGGCAATTTAAATGGCTTCTGTGCACAATGATTAAAATCCACCTGTAAAACACTTGTTAAAATTAAAATGTTTCATAAGAATCATCATGAATAGGCTGCCGAAAAGCAAGGGGCTGAAAAAAATAGCCCTGTACTTTATATTCTCCCTGAATGTCTACAGCAGTGTTGGTGAACCTACGGCCTGGGTTTCTTTGAAAACAAAAGATGTTAATGCATGAGTTTGTTTTTTCTAAACTAAAATGTCAATATTCATGTTTAATTGGCAGTTTGCAGTAAATAAGTGGGTTTTGGATTGCAGTTTGGGCACTTGTCTCTAAAAGGTTCACCATCACTGGTCCAGAGTTTCTAACTCAATGACCATTCAAGATGTGATCTTACTGTTTAGTAAATTCCTTGACCTCAAAAGCCCTCACATCAACATTTTTCTTTTCCCAGTACTTGTGACATCAAACCTTATTAGCAATTCAGATCATCATACTGTTTATTGCTACATGCAAGCTCTTTGGCCCTAAGGCTTTGTGGGAGCCAAGTCCAAAATATATAAAATTACAATTATCACTGTGTGCTGAATAGGAGAAACTCTGGGTGTGTTATTTGTTTTACATTTCATTCTGCCTAAACATAATTTTTGGCCATTGTTCCTTTATTGTTATTTACTAATGCCTGTTTTCTCATTGCAGAGGCTGTGAACCAAGGAGAGTTTCTGGTAGGTCTGAAATAAGCTTCTTGGGTTTCTGGCGTCTGTATTCTTTGGAGAAATAGATTGCATAATCAGGGTGGAGGATCTGGGTGTCCAGCAAGTGTATAGGTCCTGAGATTCCTGCGTATGGATCCACTTATAAATGCAGCCCACAGTACCTCCACGGGGTTGAACTCTAGTAACACGTTTCCCGCAGACTTTGCAGACATATCTGAACATGAAGCCATCAGGTGCCCTCCTGGTTTTGGTCAGTGTGGCCTGTGTGTTCCTTGTTGCAGGTGAGTTTCATACATATGCAGAAAAAAGGAAATTCTGTACCAGTCTGTAGGTGTGATATGATGTTTTGGTTGATGGTGGTGGTGGTGATGATGATGATGATGATGATGATGATGATGATGATGGTTGATGGTGGTTAATGATGGGGAAGCCCTGACCACACTTTGCATTTAGAAGAAAGCATAATGTTCAAATTAGCTTCTTTAATTTTCATTACAGTACTATAAAAAGAAATGGTTTTTGTCCATTTCCTAATACAGAGTCACATCTCATAAGGTGAAAAGGCCTATGGTGAATGGCAGAGGTCTCAAGTGACTAATCTAGAAAATCTAAGCCAATCATGAAGTTAGAAATTTTCAGCTAAAGTCATCTTTAAGGAAATCTTCATAAATAGGGAGAGGAAGGGGGGCTGAAGGGAGGACGGGCATGGGGAAAAAATAAGAACAAAGATAGATTATGCAAAGGTACAAATTTCCAATGATGAATGTCATTATATTGCATACCTAATTGTACCAATAAAATTAATTTAAAAAAAATTCTTATCTAATGAGTTTCTACTGCCAGAGATATTTTCTGAGACAATTTGCAGAAAGCTGTCATTTTCACCTATCTTCTATGTAAGCAAAGTAAAGATATAAAGAGGGAAGGGAGGATCAAGGGTAGGGAGAGAGAGAAAGAATATGAATGTAATGTAGCTGAAAAAGAGAAATAAGCTTCTTTGGTTTCTGGTGTCTCTATTCTTTGGAGAAATAGATTGCATAATCAGGATGAGATTCCAAGACAGCAGTTCTAAGATTTGCTTCCCATTTTTCATTCTTGAATGTCACTCACATTTTTTGGCACCTATTTTATTGCAAATTAATGGTCCATATAAAATTTATATGCTCTGGGCCTTCTTTCAATAAAAGGTTGTATTTCCGCACATCAGTTTTAGAGTTTGACTCCTGACTATGCCGTTTACAAAGTACATGCACTTAAAAAATCCACTTGCCTGAGAGATTTGTTTTCTGTCTTTAAGAGTAGCTTTAGTAGTGTTAATATATGTAAGAGTTAATATAGTTTCCAAAATGTAGAACTCCCCCAGTAGCTGGTTGATCATTTTCATGGGGGTGGTGATAAATGATATGATTTTTTCCAATGATTTCTAATTTATTTTGTATTTTATTATTGCATTATTACCTGGCTCACCAGTTGTCTTGAACTATCCTTTAATCAAATGGCTTTGAGTTTTGGAATCTTAAGCTTCATCTTAGTAAATACACATCAATCTCTTTGACAAAAGATCAAGAGTTTGACTTCATTTCTCCAGGTATAGCTTACAAAACATTTATTAGAGGAGTAAAACCCATGGTTTTAAAAATCCAACAGCAACAACGAACATAGTGAAGACACGTTTTTAGTGACCACTGGTTAAGGTGGCTTCTTGCTCAGGGGTGCATCTCAGAGCAGTTTTCCTCTCTTTCAGGGCTCCACTTCTTCCTCTGTAAAGCAAAACAGATATAATGGAAGATCTGTTTATTTTTAACTGTTAAACTCTGGCATTCTAACTTGTTGCAATTTAACAGTACCTATTTTCTCATTGCAGAAGCTGTGAGCCAAGGAGGCTTTCAGGTAGGTGCCTGTCTCTCGGGGGCCTTATCACAAGTCTCATGCAATGGTGAGCTGAGGTTGGGAAGCACCGTGACTGCTACAGTGAGGTCTTCTGAGATCAAGTGGCTGATCCAGGGGTGTGGCATCGTCACGTGACACATGATTTTAGAAGAAATGCCATTGCTCATTGTCACAATAGCTGCACTTTCTTCAACAGTAGAAAATATTTTTATTTTTATTAGCCCATGTTTGCAGTACGTAATGATCGTGTGGACTGTGGCTAGTTGGCTCATGTACACAGTACATCTGGATTCTTTGTCACTTTCTTCCCTTTTTGTTCAAACAGCTGGATGTCAAATTTTCATACAAGGGTTCTGCATTCAGGCAGAGCACAGCAGTCTACTGTAATGCTGTGCACGGTAGCCCAGTATCTGTAAAAACATATGTAGTGAATATTCTGAGGATAATTTTGAGTAGAAGTGGTACTTGGAATCATTGTAACAAGAAGATAATCATAAATTGGGTCTGTCCTAAGCAACCCAGAGGATGTTTCAGGGCCACATGCATAAAACCTACAACAAATGCTTAGCAAAATGCACTTTCCTGCTACCCTTGGGTGTCTATAAAACAGATTCATTGAATTGGGACCTCTAGGGATGATGCAGCCCAGGGATTTACATTTTAAGAAGCTCTCTGAGGTTTTGATGTATATGAAAATTTGAGAATCACAGCTACAAAGAGAAAGAAAGAATAGAAAAGAAATGCTGAATTTATATGAACACAAAACCCTCTGAAAAGGTAGTGTTTTTTATTTGTTTTTATTTATTTCTTGAAATATTAATTTTATAAAAAGCATTAAAATAGAAAATTATCAGAACTGAAATATAGCATCTCTTTCAAGATTTTAAAGTATTTGGGTTATGCATATGTATTTCAAGTGTACTTTTGTGATATGTGTAATGTATACAAAATTAAGGAATGTCAAAATAGAAGTAAAACTGAATTCCACTTCAAAAAAAAGAATGAATGGAACATTCACAAAATATTAGAGAATATAAAAACTATCAGATATGAAATGCAGTATTACTTCTACCTTCTAAAAGTGAGCCTACTACTCAAGTTTTGTGTAGCCTTTTTTTACTTACACATTTTACCTAGAATATGGTTTAAGATGTGCCCATGAAGAGATCTAAGTTGACTTTTGTACTTTATTTTTTTAAGGTTTTTTTTCATCTTCTCATCTGAAATAAATTGATTTGTAAAAAAGGCTAAAAACATTGCAAAGAAAGCAACATATACCTTTTGCTCTATTTTCTTAACTAATATAATAAGACCTTAATACATGTATCAAAATCAGGAGTTTTACATTCATACATAACTGTTAGCCAACATGCAACTTGTTCAACGTTCATAAATTACTCCGGAAATGTTTTTCTGGTATAGGATTTTTTATTATTTTGTCTCCTCAGTTTCTTCAACTCTTTTAAGGGAACAAATGTTTCTTTAATTGTAAGATTTAGTTGTCTTTAGCTGAAAATTTTAGCTATAAGATTTTAATTAGAATGTTAGTCATACTATCTTGGAAATTCAAAGTACTACACAGAATGGTTGCTCAATGCTCACTGAATAAATAGAAAGGAAATAAAATTTTTTATGTACTCCTACAAAAGAAAGTGAAAGTATTTTTAAAAAATGTGAAGGCAAGTGTTCAGAAATTAAATCACATTAGAGAAGAGAGCTCTTTCAAATATTAATGTCCAGTAACATAAATCTTCACTCCACCAAATGTAAATCTTTTCAATTAATAGCTATGTATGGTCATTTCATACCAATTATTTTCAAAAGGAAAGAAGCATGCAAGAGTAATATACGAGTAAAATGAGTTATGCCACATTTTTGTGATGGAATATTATACCATGAAAATTGTACTTTTTAGAAAGTGCACAGGATGTGTAGAGAAGCTAATAAAGGATAAGTGAAACCTATGCATTCCATGATTCTATTTTTAACATTATATATGATAATATAATACATAGAAAACAGTTGCAGACAAATAAAATGCTAACTAAAGTAATCTCTGGGTACTAGGACTGCATGGTATTCTGCTTCTGCTTCAAAATATTTTTATTTTAATTATAAAAAACAGAAGGAATTTTTAAGTACATAAGGATAATATGTTTTTAATTTAGTTGAAAAGCAAATGTCAATGTCGTTATTCATGAAATAAAACAAAACTTTATTTAAATGACAGGCCTTTTGCAGCAACTATGAGAATAAGTTCACTCCAGATGGCAAATCTTGCCCCAAGATCCACAAGCCGGTGTGTGGTACCAATGGACAAACTTACCCAAGTCCCTGTGAATTCTGCAAAGCAGCTCAGTACGTACCTGGAGCCCACTGTGTAGACAGTATTAGGTTGGGCCAAAAGGCTACAAGTCTGGAAAACTATTTATTAAGAACTAACTATTCATATTTTATAGAAAATTTTTATTTAAAATAAAGTAGTGTTATTTTCCTCAAAATGAGTACTAGAAAGTGTAAGTCCCTTTCCAGTTCACTCAACCGGAGATTAACCCATTTCTGTTCCATTGACTCTCTGAACATCATTTTTTTTTTCCTTTCAGGGAAAGAAATGGAAAACTTGGTTTCAAACATGAAGGGAAATGTTGATTCACCAAATGTTGCAATTCTGGAACTGTATTTGCTTTGATTTCACATTAGAAAATTTGTTTATTGTTACCAAGTGTACATAGCAATGAATTTTCACTGTATCTCACATGATGATGCACAAAAGAAAGCAGTTCCAATAAAGTGATCTTGGCAGAATGTCTATATTTCTTTCCGGAAATGCTGTACTGCCTAAGTACGAAATGATACAACTGGAAACACAGACTAGAATATTACCACATTTGTGAAATTCACAATTCTTTAATAATACTTCATTGCTTAGAAGTTTACAGATAAACTCTAGGATAATGAAAGTAGATACAAGGAAATAAACATTATCTGAGAGAAATTAGTACTCTTTGTTATATGGTGTATTTGTGAAGTGTTTCTCCGTGAGGGATATCTTGAGCTTGGTTTAGAGCTTCTCAACTGTTACATAGGCTGGAGCTGAAAATTAATAACCCACAAAATGTAACATTTCACTTTAGTGTTCACATCAGCTGAGTAGCTTTTGGGACAGCTCAAGCCTCTGGACTTTCTGTCTTTGAATATATTGGTTTACTATAGTATGCCATGAAAAATATTATGATTTTCTATATGTAGATACACTAAAAAACCTGAAGCCAAATATCTATTTTTGGACTGCAGATGCTTAGAAATGTAGGCATGGATAGACAAACTTGGCAATTGCAGATACTATTAGAAGAGACAAATGTAGTCCAACTAACTGAAATACAGTTTAATACACACCTGCTTAAACATCCTAATGAATGAATCATTCTGTTTATTAATTCAAATATTCAGTACCTATGATATTTGAAAGATACCATTCCAAGTATAAAGTAAACAAAGACAAGATCTTTCTCTAGCTTAAAGAATCTTATGATGTATAGGTAGAAAAGAATGAAGAGCTTAAAAATTATTTTCAGTTATTAATAAATTTATAGAGCCAACAAAATAAAAATACATGATAGAGAAAATTGGAGTACAATTTAGAGAAATTATTTCAAATAGATTCTTTGAAACAAATTCCAAAGGATGAAAGGAATTCAGGAACATGCAAAAATTTGGAAGGGTAATTTAAGCATAAAAAATATAAAATATGAAAATAATGACAATACATAAAATTTTTATATAAAATTGACATGATCAAGGGAGTGAGAAGAACTAGTTCATCCTTTTGCAAGAAACATTAGGAAACAGATAAAATCCAGAGTCCCCAGAACTATAGGGAACTACTGAAGTGCATTTTAAACCACTTCATACAAGAAATTCAGTTTTACTTGACAGAAAAATTTTCTTGGTAGAGAAGGAAAAAGGAGTATCTGGCAGAAGAAAAAGACCAGAAACATTATGGAATTAAAAAATTATAGTTTCCAATGTCTTAAATTGAGTATGTAGAACAAATGAGATTAGAGCTCAGCAAATGTACCTCAGTATTGCCTGACTAAACATACTACTTCTAAAGCAGAGGTCTTGAACAGATGCCAAATAATCTGAATGTGGCTCAGGGATGTTTGTTTGTTTGTTTGTGTTTTGGTACAGGGGTTCAAACTCAGGACATTGAGCTTGTGAGGCAGGTTGCAGAACCATGAGCTAAATGCCCAGCAGTGTTTCTTTCTGTAACACACTGCGAGCATGTGTTTTCCCCTTCTTCAGTTAAAGGCCAATATTTAAAGATTGTAAAAGTTCATGTGAAAAATTGGATTTTTAAAAAGTCAAGAAAAATTTGGTTACATAATGTACAAGTTTCTTAATATGCAACAATTGATTGACTTCTGATCCCTTTAGATGGACTATTTACAGAACCCCCCAAATCAACCTTACTCTTCCTCCTTACCTTCCAGTTCCTGATAGCAGAAGATATTGGTATCACTTCTTTAAGACCAGACAGTTTTAAGCATCTCATTGAATCTTTTTGAGTATGAAAAATTCACAATCTAGAGAGGTAGCTCACTCCTTCAAAACTACAATTTTTTCATGGAGAATCAATGCTTGTCTCTTTATTACTTGCACACAAATGACCTCCTAACTACCTTTTTATAGCACACACACACACACACACACACACTTACACAATTCACCATTTAATGTGTACTTTTTTTTTTTCACAATCCACTCTTTCAAATATCTCCTAAACACCTCTTCATGGGATATCCTCAGCTCTTTTGGCAAGCTTCCTTCCTTCCTTTCTTTCTTTCTTTTCTTTCTGTCTTTCTAATTTTTCTCTCTTTCTTGTCCTTTCTCCCTCCTCCCTTCCTACCTTACTTCCTTCCTTCCTTCCCTCTTTGGTTATGTCTCTTAAACAATCAAAAAAATTTAACATGTAATAATTATAAATATGAGCACAGAGTGATATTTCAATAAATCGGGATAAATAATATTTCTTTCTCCTAGTGGTTGCAGCCTTTAAGCTCCTCTCTTCTATTTATCCATAAAGTACATTATAGCTCACTGTAAGCTTCAATCACCCTGCTGTGCTATAGCAAACTAGAAATCTCCTGGTTGGTTTTTTCTCATTGAGTTTATTGGTACTTTAAAAATATAAAGTAGAGTTACATTTATCATTCATCTGTTGTACCTTTACATGACAGATCTTGGTTCTCATTTTTCCCCATTCCCCTGCCCTCCCTTCACCTCATCCACCGTTCCCTATTTACAAAGACTTTGTTTCTATTTTTTCGTTTTCTCATATTTTTTGATAATGTCAGTGCATGCTGTTGCTCAAATTAAAAGTCCAAGCATCCATTGAGTGCTTTCTACGTGTCGAGCATTATTTTAAAGGATTTACATTTTTTGTGTTGTCAGTTTTCTGTTACAGTAACAAATAACAGATAAACCAATTTTAAAAGACGAGAAGTTTATCATGGCTTACAGTGTTGGAAGATTTAGTCAATAACCAGTTGTGTCCTCCTCATTCCGGGCCTGTGGTGGCACAGTGTATCAGGATGTCAGCATGTGGTAGAGGAAGCCCCTTTAAGTCACGCCCAAGAACAAAAGGCAGGAGGAGGGAGTGCTCCACATTTCCCTCAAAGGCACATCTTCAGTGCCCTAAGACTTCTCACTAGTCCCCACCTGTTAAGGTCCCACCATCACCCACTTATTTCAAGGGGTAGGAACAAAGCTTTTAACCTATGAGCCTTTCAGGAACATACTGGGTGTGCACTATAGTATTCATTCAGTAGATGTTCAAAATAATATAACAAAATCATTGTCAAACCCTAGATGATTAAGAGTTTTCTCTTATAATAGTTTCAGAGTTTTGCATTTGACATTTAAACCTGTGATCCATGTTGAATTAATTATTGTGAAAAGTAAAAGGTCTGTGCCTGCATTTACTGTCTGTAGTCAGTCCCTCCCGTTTCCTGGTCCTTCAGTCCATTGTATTGTCTTTACTCCTTTGTCAAGGTAAGTTAACAAATGATGTGACTCTTTCTAGGTTCTCAATTCTGTCTCCTTGTTCTACTTGTCTATTGTTTTTACCTTGATTACTGAAACCACCAAGTATTGAAGTTGGGTAGTGTCAATATTCTCACTGCTCTTTTGGAGTATATATTTTGAAAATATGATAAAATTCATGAACTCTTTCTTTGGGAAATGTAGCTACACATACACAAAGTTTTGCCCTCAGATCACAAAATAATTGACTTGAAGTTTAAAACATCACTATCTAGAAAATGGTGGATTTTCCTGTACTCTTCTTGAACAATTGCTTATCTTGGCATCAGATATGCAGACTGCTAACCAAGCATTAACATGTAGGTAGGATTCAGTGAAAATTAAATGAATGTTTGTGTCTTCCTCCTACTTGTCAGTTTAAGAGTCAGTGCTTGGAGCCATCCAGAAATCTCCACATGGCCAGACCGAAAGTTGTTTCTGGTCCTAACTGATATTTGAGTATTAATTTTGCACTGCCAAGGATTCACTGGTCTCCAATTAAGGGACTCATAAACTGATCTGTACACTAAGTTTTAATTCTCCAAATCCCTATTTCTATGACTATTTCCATTCCAGATGTCCTAGGATTGACTTGCTTAGACACACATGGTAAAATAACTTTGAGTTAACTGTGAATGCAGTAATTCATTGAATCTTTGCTTGAGTAGCCTTATCAAATAAGGTGCCTCCAAATGATTGCTGTAAGCATAAGATGATATAATGCATCTAAGTTGCCTCAATAAATATTAGTTAATATAGTTTTCATGGGGTCCTGATTCAATAGAAAAGTAGAAAAATAATTTTTACCTTGTCAACAATATTATGTTGGTTACCCACTGTGATGTAAAGTTTCATCACTATTTTAGTGAGTTAAAACTATGATCACACATTTCTTTGTCCACTTGTCTGAAATTTCTGCAGTCTAGGTTCAGTAGGCAGGGCTGTTTCTACTCCGTATCATGTTGCCTAGGGCGTCCCACTGGGATCCTACTTAACTCCATTTGCATGCCTTGAGTTTCATCACATCAGTGCCCCCCTTCACTTTATAGTCTATAAATTGCCAAAATTTTGAAGGCTTAGACCAAAAGCTGGCATGTCCACTATTGGTCAAAGAAAAATAATGGTAGCTCAGATTTAAGGAAAGGATAATAGGGTCTCTGGTAGGAAAGGAACAACAGGTATACAGAGAGAAATGAAAGATTTGTTGAGGGTGATCTTTATAATAAAACTAAGTTTTTAATTTTCTTTCAATGTGTAATTTTAAGCCTAATTATGAGTGGATACTACATGGGAGGTTATTAAAAATAAGGCTTGAGAAATCAGTAATAGAAAACTTGGGCCTGAATGGTTACATACAATAAATCTGATGACTAACACTGGATAGATTATTTTCTCTTAAGTATGAAAATGTCAGAGCACAATTGTTCCTAATAGTAATGGTTATGGGAGAGGTATTAATTTTGGGGTAAGAAACAGATTATATTTTATATTTTATTTCTATAATCAGCAAACTCCCACACCAGAAGCTTTTCATAAGATGAAAGACATGAGAATGAGTTAATGAATGCCTACTATAACCAGCCTATTGCATCACTGTTACAATGGCTCTTTGTTGTGTATCTTGTTTTCTAGTCACCATATGAGCTCAACTTAAGTGAAGGTAGCAGGAGTCATGTTTCTGATTTCTTCAAATGTTGACATGGATGGAATAGCAATAGTGAATATCAGTGTGTGTTGGGTGTATGTGTCTCCTTAATAACTAAGGATGAAGTTGGATAAATTTAAGATTCAATTGTCATTAAAACTTTCTGTGTTGAATGAAGGTATCAAAGCCCAAAGCAGAGAAATTATTCCAGATCCTATCTTAAGTATCAAACTCTAGGAACTGATGGCTTTGTCTAGAAGGGGGGAGACATGTAACCTATCAAATCAGTAAGTCAACTAGAGAATAGCAAAGGTCCTTAACTTAGGTAGGAGTTACTCAATGGGTAGACTGTGACCTCTTTATATTGTAAAACATTTAATGGACTTTGGTAATCAACTGGCAGGATTCTCTCTGACGTCTTTGGTAACATGAAGCTAAATTTAAGAGGCATGGTTTCTCCCATGAAATAGGAGTTACATTTCAAAGTCCAGATAAAACATTAAATTTGTCTAGCTGGACTCAGTAAAACATATTTTTGTCCAAATTCAAGTAGCCTAATGAATGTTGTGAAGCCGATGCCTTTTCTCTTTGTTCAAGCTTTGGATCCCTCCCGGGGTGCAAAGAACAAAGCTTCACATATAACTTACTGCTCCCATGGAAGAATAGAAAAGAAACAGTGATTACACTTCTAAGCAGGAAAAAGCTATTGGGGAATTCATAATTCCAAACTCTTTATGTGTAAGACAAATGGTTTGTTAAGATTAAATCAGGTAGCTCGAGACAAGATGACATGAAACATTCCAAGATCACCAAAATGCAGGTAAGACGTCTTTCTCCAAATCACAACAAAACATCTAGCAAATACTTCTTTAATGGAATATTATTATTATAATTTTAGAGATAAAAGGAGAGAGAGAGAGAGAAAGATAAACTCTCATGAGACAGCAACACTAAAATAGAAGAAAGACTAACACCTTGGGTCATTTGACCCCTTTGTTATAGTTATTTCCACCCAAGTATAATGACAAGTTTTAGAAAAATAGCCTTGGTCTAGCTCAAAACACATTTTTCTCCCCTCAAATAGGTGAATGTGGAAAGCACTTCCAGAGCATGATGCAATCCAAAATTTGACCTTACTATTAAAAGTAAAGGGAGGTAAAAATGGAAGACTGCTTAAGGTGAAAAATTATCACTATTAAGAGAGAAATAAATGCTTAACTTATAATGTATGCTTTAAAAGAAATTAGTCAGAAGGCTTTCTGAAGCAGTGTAGAGAATAATTACAAATAGAAAAATCTTGTCCCATGCAGCCAGCATCTTAACTGATCCATTGAGGCTGACTCCATTACCTCAGCGTATGCCCTTCATGAGACTTTATCTCTCTGCTGAGATGTCCTGACTTCCAATGTCCTCGATGCTGTTTATTAATTATATATGATATTGTGAAGTCTCAGTAGTCCTGGAATTAGAAAAATGATTCACTGAGTGAAAACTTTCTGCATTGAATTCTATATATGAGTATCTGAGTGTGAAAATAACTTGACAAAATTTACTTTTTTGACAGGTACATAGTAGAACAAGTATAGCAAAATACTACTTAATGAATCTTGGTGGTATGTATATGACAGTGGTCATCAACACGATTTTCACTCTATGATTTTTAAGTTTTCTACATTCTGAAACTTTTCATAATAAAATATTTGGAAAAATTATACATAAGCATAATCCAAGGCCTTTTGGTTCCCTAATGATATGTGTATGAATTTCAGTCATGTAGAGAACAATTACAAAGGAGGGAAAACTGCCTGCTTATTATACAAAACAGTAAACCTGGTCTCTTTTAATGTCATAAATTCATGGCTTGATTAAAAAAATCATTTCTCACTTTTAATATTGTTCTCTTCTAAACAAGATAAAGGTAAAATTGAATGCAATCTAGGACAACTAAACCAGAGGGATTTCGAATTAAAAGGGAAAGCGCGAATCCTCTAGCTTAATGCTCTTCCCAAAGTTGAAATTTTCATTAAAAACTCCACGCATTTAATCTGTCCTGTAAAACTATGGGGATTAAATAATATATTTCTTTTCCATCTGACTGTCATTCTGCATGAGGGCTTCGTTCCTCAGCCTGTCTTTATTCAAACTGCTGGCTCCTAATCCCACCAAACTCCCTCGTTGTACCCAGGCTGCAGACCTCACTTCAGCTTTTGGACAAGCACCAATTAATTCAAATTTTCCCTAAGTAAGGCATCCAACCTTGAATACAATATTCCAGTGTTTTACAACACTTATGTCTTAGTCTAAATCTCCAGGTGATTTTCACATGACCTCTGTTTGATGTAAGAGCTTAAGAAAAGAAGGCCAACAATGTATTCATATTTTTCAAACATGAGCTCTATTGTTCTTGATACCTCATAAAATCACATTACTTCGCATCATTACACTGGATGCATTCATCACTTACTAATGAACAACACTCAGTGCATTTTTACTTGCTTGTAACACATAATTTGAGGTAAGTAATTGACACATAATTCATCTGAAGGAAAATGTCTTCAGCGATCCTTATTGCTGATATATAAAGTTGAAGGTTCAAAAACAATACAAATTGAAAATAAAACATACCTTAATTTTTTTAAAACTCCACTGAATTTACAACTTTCTCCCATGTGTTTCACCATTTTTATTTTTTTCTGGGAGAAGATACCTGGTAGACACATATTTATGAGTTGGGGCGTGATGCTTATTTTTTAAATGACCATTCAAGAAGCACCACCTTCCAGTTTGTGAAAGTTGCTCTGTAATTTCTAAACACAGTGACAATGTTTACCAATTAGGGTGGAGAATTTTTCAAATATATAACATGGTGGCGATCAACACAGTTTACCCAGAAAGAAGCTACTGAAGACTTAACGCTGACATTCACCCAACAATCAACCCTGAGACAGCCGACTACCATGGAGGCTTTCGTTTTCCTTTCCTGCCTGTTGCTGGCTGGGTTGTCAGGTAAGCAAGTTATAGACGATGGCTTTCCTTCCGACTGCCGATGTAAAGAATTTGAAAAGTTAAGTGATTTAGTGATGCTTTGACAGGATATTTTAAAGCAGGAAATCTTCATCGGACAGAAATGGAAAAGATAATTTCAGAAAAAATGAAAACAGATCAAGAGGTATAAAGCAGTGGCTGGATTATAGTAGAGCTGTGAGTGTGGTGTGGGTAGAGAGATGCAAGAACAAAGATGTGGGAAAGGCAAGCCAGTGGAATGGGAAGATGGAGGGGTCTAAAGTGATTGTAAATATTTATGAAAATGTATTTAAATTCACATTCTATGAGGCAATGGATCTGCGCTATTATCATCGGCTGTGTGGTCCAATAAAAATGTTTTCAAATCCTAACTTTCTCTATTTATATGGCTTGTTGCAGCTTGCCTAACTTATTGGAGGCTGTTTTCTTATTTGTGAGGCACAAATAAATAATCATACTTTCCTTTTACTGTAGGAATTGTGCAGGTGACAAATAGCATTAGCCCTCAGGTTTAAATTCTTCTTAGATGCCTGACACTGAGCATGCTTTACTCTACTCCTTACCCCAGTATAGTTAAGTTGCTTTCAGATCATACATTCTAGCTCAGGGCTATAAATTTCAAGATAATAGGTGACAGCCAATACATTTTTAAGTTAGTAAATTATGATAATAAAACTGATTTTCAGGGATTGTGAGCATAGCTCAGCTTAGCATGCTCAAGGTCCTGGGTTTAATGCCCAGCACCAAAAGGAATAATTTTATGCTCAAATTATGACATCCTACCTGACCATCTAACCTGTTCCTAGTGAAAGGGAATAATAAAAGGAAAGTGCTGAAGACAGTCAATTTCTTATACTTGCAAATCAAGAAATAGTGGCTGTCTTCTCCCCGGAAGCATTGCAGAGTGGTTTGCTACTGCTAAGTACAACAGTACTTTACTATTTACCATCCTTTACTATTTTCATTTTTTTAATTTTTCTGCTTTCGGGGGTTACTTCTTACTGAGCTACATACAGAGTGCCCCGGCCCCACCTCCCAGCAGCTTTTGATTTTCTTATTTGAGATTGAGTCTCTCCGAGTCACTTAATTGCCCAGCCTGGGCTCAAACTTGCAATCCTCTTGCCTTGGCTTCCCAGAGTTCTAGGATTGCATGGCCACACCTACAACACCCATCCCTCATTAAAAGAAAATGTTGGCCAGGTAGTAATATGAAGAATGCATTAAGTGTGGCAAAAGTTATTCAGAGATACCATCAAAGAACTGCTAAAGTAATAGAGTTGCAAAACAAGAGAGAAGAACTAAGCAATGAGGTGAAAGAAGAGAGGAGCAAGAATATATTTGTTTTGGAAGAGAAAAAGGCCATAAAGAGAATATCCCACCTTAGTACTGTGTTCTATGGTAACAGGTGCTGTACCTATTGTGTATTTTTAGGGCCTTGCTAGGTGACAGCGTATACTGAGCAGGCATTTGTAGACAGCAAAATACGAATTCCAGAGTCTGTTTGATTTATCAGGAAAATAACAAAAGGAATTTTGGCTTGAATTAAGGGCCAGTTCTTATAATTCAAACTCTATGATCTAGGCATCATATGACTAGGTACCATAATGTTTTGAAACTTGCCGGGTGTGGTGGCGCACACCTGTTATCCCAGCACTCAGGAGGCTGAGACAGGAGGATTGCTGTGAGTTCAAAACCAGCCTGGGCTACACAGTGAGTTCCAGGTCAGTCTCAACTACATAGTGAGACCCTGTCTTAAAAGAAAGCCCCCCAAACAAACAAATGTACATAATGTTTCAAAACTATGTAGCAGTCAAGGAAAGAAAAATATAAGAATGAAAATATTGAAGGTACAGAAAGAATGGGAAAGCTCTAATTTGGATTTCATTTAAAATCATAGATGCATTAAATACAAACTTTATCTTGGAGTGAATGCTGTTTATTATAAGTACAGGAGGCTGACAGGAGGATTGCTGTGAGTTCAAAACCAGCCTGGGCTACACAGTGAGTTCCAGGTCAGTCTCAACTACATAGTGAGACCCTGTCTTAAAAGAAAGCCCCCCAAACAAACAAATGTACATAATGTTTCAAAACTATGTAGCAGTCAAGGAAAGAAAAATATAAGAATGAAAATATTGAAGGTACAGAAAGAATGGGAAAGCTCTAATTTGGATTTCATTTAAAATCATAGATGCATTAAATACAAACTTTATCTTGGAGTGAATGCTGTTTATTATAAGTTCTTTAAGTTAAAAAATTTTAATTTTTAATTTTGTGTTTCAATAACATTCCAGTGTCTTCAACTCAGATTTCACAACCCAGTTTCTACAAAGTAGAAGAGAATAAAAAACCTATACTTATTCTAGAGAGAAAAAATGAAGCTAATTTTCCAGGAAAACTAAGAGAATCTATTCAGCAAGGAGGTAGTTATGCTCAAGGGAAACCAAGTAGGTTTAATCTTCAAGGACAACCAGGATCATCTAACCAGCCAGAGGAACTGGGAAGTTTTCACCAGCAAGGGAGGCCAGGAGATTTGAGCCAGTCTGAGTTGCCTGGATCTTTGATTTCGCAGGGGAATTCAGAAGAATCAAACTTGAAAGGGAGTCCAGAAGCTTCTAATAAACAAGCAAAATTAGAATCTTCTAGTCAACTGGAGAAACTAGAGTCTACTAACCAGCAAGGGAAGATAGGATCAGCTAGCCAGCAAGGGAAGCCAGGGTCTTCAAGTCAGCAAGGGAAACCAGAATCATCCAGCCAGCAAGGGAAGCCAGGGTCTTCAAATCAGCAAGGGAAACCAGGATCATCCAGCCAAGGGAAACCAGGGTCTTCAAATCAGCAAGGGAAGCCAGGATCATCCAGCCAGCAAGGGAAGCCAGGGTCTTCAAGTCAGCAAGGGAAACCAGGGTCTTCAAATCAGCAAGGGAAACCAAAGTCTTTTTACCCTCAAGGAGAAAGAAAAAATTCAGAAAAAACTTTGAATGGCAAAACAATGGAGATCCAGGTTAGTGTTATTTTCTAAGTCAATGAATCTCAGTTATTCTTTTCTGAAAGATGAAATGGTTAAATTAATGCACTGTATCGATGACAAATTGCAATGGCAGTGTTTAAGATAAATGAGCCAAACTGTTTTCACACATAACATGATCATTGATGCTGTACTCCTTTATTCCACCTCTATCATTTTCTAGTCAAATCTCTCCACCTAACCTATACTGCATTAACTCAGAATTCCATCACTTGAGGTTATTCCCTGCCACGTTTAACTTTGAAGTCCATTTCTACCCCATCCATAATCTACTACCTCTGAAATAATAATTCTCAAATCTGAAGTGATGTTTCAATTCTCTGCTCAACATTTTCAGTAGTTCTCTACTTATCTACAGATAAGACTGCATGCCATTCAGCTTCGTTTTATGTCTCTCCTGCCCACATCCAGACCCTTTTGAATTTCTGACACTGATGATTTCCTCCATGATAGAAGTTACCTTATTGAATTGTAATTTGTTATCTAAATATTCAATAAACTACAAATCCCCTGAAAAAGAGCATTTTTTAAAAAACCGTGTCCTCAGAGTTTAGAATAAATGAGACATAGTAGGTTCTCTGAGTTTTCACGTTATATAAATGAAGACTTAGAAAAAAAATCTTTGCAAAAAGAAAATCATCCGTCTGATGAATGTGTCACCTACATTCCCCTCTGCAATCTTCTGTGTTCTACCTTTACTTGCCACTTTTACACAGTGAGCCTCCTAATTCCCTTTAATCAGGGCTCTAAGCATTCCATTTTATTTTCATATATAAAACTGTTTCCTAGAACACTTGCTCTATCTCATCATTTAAATGGAAACTTTACTTGTTGCCATATAAATTGGCAATCCTCATCATATTTTCAGAGGAAAGCTATCGTCCTTCCTGGTATGAAGACTCTAGCCTTGCATGAAATATTATCTCTCACTAAGATTAATATCATCCAGGTCTTAATGCCTGGACTCTGAGATTTTAGGATATCATATAAACTTCTATAATTTTATATTGGCTCTAAAACGGAGAAATAACTGCACTTTACAAACTCTATGTAAATGAAAGGAATTGATTTTCATGAAAACTTTGTAAACTTTATACCAATGGAAAATATTGAGGGTTTTTCATATTCCTTTAATATCTTGGCTTTGAGTTGACTTGAGATCCCATTGAAGTCTCATCATTCCCATTCTTGTTGTTGGTTCTCATCAGCTAAAAAAGCTTTATATTCACAGGCTTCTCACATCTATAGCTCACATCTCAAAACATTCCACTATTTAATTAATTCTGCATAATATGACATGCTTTGTTTTTATTTTAGTGTCCCGAGAAACAAAGGAGATCAATAGTTATGCTCATATGTGTTTTACATTTGCCAATGTAACTTTTCCCTGTCTGTTGTTCCTCTATACAGAAGAAAACATATCCATAAAAATAGAGCAAAAGCAGTATGATAATAATAATAAGATCCAGGGCTTTAGAATAAATAACTCCAGGTTTGAATCACTGCTTGGACACTTAAACCCTTTGTGATTTCAGGCTTGAATTTAAATGCACTATCTCTCATGCTGCTGGAAACAAGTTGGGGCTGAATATATTCTTCTTTTAGTACTGCTGTGTGGGTTAAATGCAAACGACCAATAAAATGTTGGGTAATACATAATGCTTTACTACGAATAAAGTAGCAATCCTTGTTTTTCATAATATCTGAATTAAGTTGATGACTCTATCCTTATCTGATGATCTTTCGCTCACTACAGACTGGCAGCACCAGTCGCAAGAAACTGATTAGAAACAAAGGATGTCAAGCTGCCTACAAACCGGTCTGCGGTTCTGATGGAAAAAGCTATGATAATGACTGTGTATTTAATCAAGCAAAGAGGTAAGGGCTTTGTATTGCTTTGCATCAGGAAGTACTATTCTGATCAATAGAGAAGAAAAACCCATTTTTCTGTCTGTGTAGTTTTTCTCAAGTGATAAATTCTGTCCATTTCTGAGAATGTAGTTAATTCAGATATTAAGGCAAGAGTAATTTACTTTTGTGTTATTTATTTTCCAAATAGTCACTGAGTGCACATCATGCCCAGGAAGTAATCTAAGAGCAGTAGGTAAAATCGGGAACAAAATACACTGAAATTCCTGCGTGCATGAATTTCAATTTTTGCAATGGAAAAGAAACAAATAAACCACACCAGAAGATAAAGGGACCTGCAAAGCTCTTGGATTACTAATTGTTGCCTACTAAATCCTATTCTAATCATAACAACAAAGGTTGGACTTGGTGAATGATCTAAACCTTCAAAAGTTATATACTATAACAAATAAAGAGACTTTAAGGCTGTTTAAAAAATTGTAACATGAGGTTAAGAGAGCTTGAAATATTTAAGCCCTCAGGATCTTTAAATGTTCAACTATAAAGTAGAAAAATAAAGTAAGAATGATATCTCTCTTTTTTTCAACAGTTCTTGGATTTCATAAGTACTTAGCGTAAATCATTACCACACAATACAATATTAAATTCACGTATCCCTTGAGGCTAAACAGAATTAAAAAGGACATTAATGCCAATTCTCTCATAGTATCAATAAATCACAGGGTCCAGAGATTAAAAAGGGATCATTGGCAAGTGTAAAATTTCTCCAATCAGTCAGTGAGAGCTAGGTAAGCCAGCAAATAGGCCTACTTTTTAAATAATCACAGTTTCTTTTTGTGGTGGTACTATAACTAACTACTTGGCCCTTGATTTCTCTCATTAATTTATTTTCAGGTTGAGTCATGGAACACTGAGTCTGAAACATGAGGGAAAATGCTAAGTGTTTATATGAACCAAATCACCTCAAAATCTACTTGCAATTCTGTATTCACAATGGATTTTCTTGGGAATTCACCTATGCGGTCAACAAAAATCTCACAGATTTGATGGAGCCTATGTTATCTTTGAGTCTCTTTCACTATAAATACAGTCCATTCCAAAGTAACTTCTGATTCATAGGATTTTTTTGTTGTTTATACTTTCTAAAACTTTAATGAGTTTTTTCGATCCTGCCCTTCCCGAAGTACCAAGCAGTTATCAATTCTGTCCTCTCCTTCAGGACTTGGGCAGCAATTTATAAACTCTAACAGATATAAAAATATGATGATTTCCTGGAAAACAAAGATTTTCCACTTTTAAAATATTGAGGCTGTAGGTATCTGCTAGAGCTAAAGAAACTGAAGTTTCAAAATACATTTCAGGATTTTGCAATGGAAGAGAACTATAGAGTAATAGAATGAAGGATTATGTTCTGCCCCCCAAATTAGATAACCTAAGTGAAATGGGCAAGTTGATAAAAACACACTATTTACCAAGATTTCCTCATGAACAAATAAAAAACTTAGATAGACATATCCAGTAAGTTTGAATCAGTAATCAAAATGTTCTAACAAGAAAAGCTCCAGGTAAGATGACTTCATACCAAAACTTTTAGGGAGACTTAATACCAGTGTTTCTCAAAGTCCTCCAAAAAAATTGAACAGGAGGGATCATTTCCTAACTGACTTTATGAACTCAGTTTTAGCTTGATACTAAGAACTACTAAGATGAAACAGGAAAATAAAACTATAGGCCAACAACCTTATAAATATTGGTGCATAAAATCCAGTGGCCTGCTAGGAGACTATATTTGGCATATTAAAATAATTACACATAGTTGTCAATTAAATTATTCCTGGCATGCAAGAAAGTTTCATCATAAAAAATTCAAAATGATCATTAATAAAATGACGAGGAAAAATGCATGGTTATCTCAAGGGTAAATTTAAGAAATTAATGAAGTTCAAAAATGCTAACAAAATTGTGATGCAACACTAAGCAAATTAGGACTATCCTTGAAATGATAAGTTAACAGCACTAAGAAACATTATTTTTACAATAAAAGATTGAAAGCCTTTCCTGTGAGGTCAGGAATAGGATAAAAACACCTGATATCTTAACCTCTACTGACAATAATGTTAGATGTTTTAGATAAAGTACTTAAAAAGAAAGAAATAAAGATATTACAAGTGAAAAAGTAAAATTATCTCTGTTCTCAAATGACATGATTATATATGTAGAAAATCCTAAGAACCACACAGACATACGTAAAACAGGAAACTTTTAAGACATAACACTATAAAAATAAGTTAAATTTCTAAACAAAAACAATGAACAACCTAAAGGGGAAATTAAAAAAATAGTTCCCATTAAAATAGGATAAAGTACACAGGATACTCAGGAATAAATTTTAACACGGGGCGGGAGGGGAGATTCCCATCCAAGTACTAACCAGGCCTGACCCTGCTTAGCTTCCGAGATCAGGAGCGCTCACGGTGGTATGGCCGTAGACGGGAAAAAGACTCATACACTGAAAACTATGAAACATTATAAAAAATTACAGGCATTTTTAAATGATAAGCCAACCTGTGTGAGATTAAGAGACTAAACTTTTTTAAGATGGAAATATTATCCAAAGTGATATATTGAGTCAAGAATCTCTAGAAAATTCTAAAGTAATATTTTTGCAGAAAAGGAAAAACCCATCCTAAAATTCATATTTGATATTGAGTGATGTTGAATAGCAAAAGAATCTTGAAAAAGAGGAAATTAGTTGCAGCATTCATACTTTCTAATTTTGAAACTTATTACAAAGTTGCATTAATCAAACACATGATATAACATATCATGTTATACGGAAGGGGAACAGAGTATAGAGACCAAAAAAAAAAAATTTCACCTATATGGTTAAATTCTTTTCAAGCAAGATAACAAAACAATTCAGTGGAGAAAGGATAGGCTTTGCAACAAAAACTGAAAATGCACATGGAAAATAATAAAAAGGAACCCTACCTAACACTTCATACAAAAAAAAATTAACTCAAATGTCTTTGTGATTTGGGATTCCACAAGAACTTCCTGAATATGACCTTAAAATGATAGGAAATAAAAAAGAAAACTAAATAAAATACACTTCCTCAAAATTAAAATTTTGCATATCAACTAAAATTATCAAGAGGGTAAAAAGGTAATTCCAAGATTGGGTGAATAATACTTACAAATCAAGCCAAGAATGGTACATATACTTATAGCCTCAGTGTTTGGAAAGCTGAGGTAGAAGAATTACTGGAATTCAAGAGTCAAGGCCAGCCTGGGAAATATAATATTGCCCATCCTTTCAAAAGTGCAGTTCATGTATCTGATAAGGGATTAATATCCATAATATAGAAAGAATTCCTCCTCAACAATAGCAATAAGACTCAATTTAAAAATAGGCAAATAATTTGAATAGACATTTCTCCAAAGAGATATATAAATGGCCAATACATAAATAAAAAGATCTTCACAGGGCTATCCATTAAGGAATGCAAATCAAAGCCACAGTCAAATGCTCCTCCAGATATAATAGAATTAGTTATTAAATTAAAAAAGAAAGAAACAATTATTGACGATTATGTGTAGAAATTGAAACCAATGTGCATTGCTGGTCAAAATGTGAAAAACGGAAGGCTTCATAGAAAAATAGTATGATTTTTTGCTCAAAAAAGTAAATTTACAATTACTGTATAAGTCCAGCAATTTCACTTTTAGATATATACCCAAAAGGAATTTTAAAACTTAGAATCAATAAAATGGAGTCCCTTGCTCCTGGGTAGGAAGAATCAACATAGTGAAAATGACCGTACTACCAAAACTGCTATACAGATTCAATGCAATGCTGATTGAAATTCCAACAGTATATTTCACAGAACTAGAAAAAATAATCAAAAATTTCATTTGGAACCAGAAGAGACCTAGGAGAGCAAAAGCCATCCTAGGCAACAGAGACATGGCAGCAGGTATAACAGTTCCCAATCTGAAACTATACTACAAAGCCACTGTGATAAAAACAGCATGGTACTGGCAAAGAAACACATCTGAGGACCAGTGAAATAGATTGGAAGATACAGAAACAATTCCAGATGTACTCAACTACCTCATTTTGACAACGGAGCCAACCATCCTCACTGGAGGAAAGATAGCCTCTTTAATAAATGGTGTTGGAAAAGCTGGATTTCAACCTGCCAAAGATTAAAACTAGACCCTTATCTTTCACCGTGCACTAAACTAAAATCCAAGTGGATTAAACATCTAAATATTAAAAAAGAAACACTAAACTTGCTGAAAGATAAGTTAGGCAGTACTCTCGAAGACATTGACATAGGATAAGACTATATGAACAAATTCTCAGTAGCACGGGAACTAGCCTAAAAAATCAACAACTGGGATTTGATCTTATTAAAAAGCTTCTGCACTGCAAAAGAAACCATCAACAGAGCTAAGAGACAACCTACAATGTGGGAAAAAAAAGTTACCAGCTGCTCCTCAGACAAAGGATCATTATATAGAATATATAAAGAACTCAAAAAATCAGGCCCTTCAAATATAAAGACCTGATTCAAAAATGGGCATCTGAAATAAAGAGACATTTCTCAAAGAAGTAAAAGCAGCAAATAAATATATGAAAAAAAAGTTCAACATCACTGGTCATCTGAGAGATGTGGGTGAAAACAACACCGAGATTCCACCTCATCCCACAAAGAATGGCTGCTCTCAAGAAATCAACCAATAACAAATGTTGGCGGTGTTATGGGGAGAAAGGAACCCTCTCCATTGTTGCTAGGAGTGCAGACTGGTGCAACCACTGTGGAAATCAATATGGAGACACCTCAAAGAACTAGGATTAGAGGTTCCATTTGACCCAGCCATCCCTCTGCCGGGTATCTTTCCAAAAGAATTAAAAGAATCCTATCACAGTGATATATGTGCACCCATGTTTATAGCGGCACAGTTTGTAATAGCTAAAACTTGGAAACAACCCATTTGCCCATCAGTTGGAGACTGGATAAAGAAGATGTGGTTTTTCTATAAAATGGAATACTACTCAGCCATAAAGAATGAGAAATTAGATTCATTCATAGGAAAATGGATGCATATTGAGGTCATACTCTTAAGTGAAATAAATAAGTCACATGTGTAAATACTGAACCGTTCGCTGTGAAAAACTGTAATTGTAATTAAGATCCTAATGGTATAACTGACAATGTGAAATACGAAGTAAAGGGCTAAAGGTATAGGGGAAGTGGGAAGGGTAGGGGAAAGGAAATAAGGGAAAAGAAAAAATACAAGAAAACAAAAAAGAATGGAAAAAATATTTTTGTAAATAGGAAAGGGAGGAGGGGGTGAAGGGAGGGCAGGGGTGTGGGGAAAAATGAGAACCAAGACCTGCATGTAAAGGTGCAAGATCCCAGTGATGAATGTAACTGTATTGTATACCTAAAAAATACCAATAAGCTTAATGAGAGAAAAAAAGAGTGTCTTTCAAACAATACAAGTAGTTAATCTGAAGGCATTAAAGTTAATTTTAATAAATCTATTCAAAATTTCTTGTGATTTTTTTATGAAAAAATAATATTAAATCTTATAAATTGTACATTCTATATTTCTATCAATAACCGTGTGGTTTTTCTGTCTTAATCTGAAAATATAGTGTATAATGGTATTGAATTTGAAATAGTATAGCAAACTTTCATTACAATATATTAATTTTTCATATAATTTTATTTTGTGAACATTAAGAGTTTTTGCATTTATACTCGTTAGGTTCATTGACTTAGAATTTTCTTTCTTTGTAATGTCTGGTTTGGATGTGAGGATAGTGTTGACTTATGTAATGAATTGAGAAGTATTCCTCCTCTGATTTCTTTTATATAATTATCATTATATCTTTCTTAAATGTTTGATAAAATGTCCCAGTCTCTTAGCAAGATCCTGCCTCAAGATAAAAAGTGTAAAAAGGGTCAGGGTTGCAACTCAGTATAAAAACACTGTGATAGAGCCCCATTGTCTTCCTCTCTGTCTCTCTGTGTCTGTCTCTGTTTCTCTCTCTCTCTCTCTCTCTCTGTCTCTCCCACACTCACACACACACACACACACACACACACACACACACACTCTCAAACAATTCATTTGGGCTGGTAATTTCTTTGTGAGGATGTTAAGTATTAAAGATTAAAATTAAAGATTTAAAATTTATACAGGCCTGTTCAAGCTATTTCTTACTGAGTAAACTTTAGAATTTTTATCAAAGTATTTCCCTTTTAATATCTATAAAAGCATTAGGCATTATCATTCTAATTCCTAAGATTGATGATCTATACATTCTTTATTACTTTCTGATTATTGTCGTTAAATTTTATCAATTTTCAATCTTCTCAAAGAACCGTAATTATTTTCATTAAATTAATCTTTATTTTTTTCTATTTCATTGATTTCTATTGTCATTATTTCTTGCTCTGTTTTTTCCAGTTTTCATTTGCTCTTGTTTCCTGGTTGAAGCTAGAAACTAGATGGTTGATGTTATTTTTAATTTTTAATTTTTGTAAGTACATTTGTATCACCTAATAACCACGTTCATTACGGAGAGTTGGTACATATACACAATACATCTTAATTTTCTGTGACCCCTTCCTCTCTCCCCTGTCCCTCATATACAAGAGTTTTACTGTAATATTCTCTTTAAGAACAGGGTTATATGTTCCCACAAATTTAGTTATTTTGTGATTTTTTTAAAAATTGTATTTTCTCATCTCTTTTAAATTTCTCCTTTGATCTTATAGGGCATTGTTTCATTTTCAAATTTATGGGTCATTCCAGACATGTTTCTACTAATGATTTCTAATTTAACTTTACTGGGAAAGGGTTTTGATTTTGTGGTTTGATTCATTTTAATATTTTGAATATTGTTTTCATGCTCACAGTACATGTCATTTTGGTATATGTTTTGTGAATAGCGAAAAGGAATGAATATTTTGCAATTGGTGGAAAATTTGTTCTATAAATGTAGATGTATTTATTTGGCTAATAGTTTGAGTCTTCTGAATTCTTACTGCTTTTCTCTTGACTTGTATTGTTTTATAATTTTACATTTTATTTATTCAGAATTTACATTGCTTCCAAGTCTGGAGAGCGGAGGGAAAAGACTGATTTCCATTTTGATAGAAAACTGGAAGATGCCACTAAATTCTTAAAATATGGTGATGCCGCCATAGTTGACACCGTTTCTGTTAAGACCATGTTGCTGAAGGCTGCTCTGCCAGTCCTTCTCTGAGTTGCTTTTCTGCTCGTGATAGGGGACAGGCAGGTGCTGTGAGTGTCACAAAGCAGTGAGCAAGAAAACCGCTAAATCTAAGAAAGTCATAGAGTTGGCCAAGAAAGTGCAGAATGCTAAATAAATCATCTTCTTAATATTCTCCTCCATCTTACTCAGTGATGCAACAACAGCCTCAGAACGCTTTCTCTCAGTTGACCATTTAAGACTGATAGTAAAAGTCGAGTTAATGACAATCACGAATAACTAAGCCTTTAAAAAGAAATGAACGGGGTTTTAAGGAACATTGGGTTTACATGCATAGAGGCAATTGTGATAAACAAAGAACTTTTAAAAAACAATCAGCTTATGTCTCATAGGGAGAATACACAGTGGATGTAGGTAGGAGAAATTGAAAATTAAAAGCTAAATACTGGGTGGAGGAACTACACAGTATTGCAGCATTTCGTGAAGGCTCTGTAATTAACACTGTAGTAGTACTGTACTACTACAATACTACTAGCTCGCAATAGCCAAAGAAGTAGAGTAGTTACAGAAAGCAAAAAATAAACTGTAGTACGCTTGGAAATTCAGTACACTATAAAAGTGACACCTTAATAATATTAAAAATGAAAGATAAAATTGTGTATATATCTAATACTAAACCTTAAATGAACTCCCAGCCTAGTAAGTTTAGCAATAAAACCCAAACAACTCAAACACTGAAGTACTCATGGATGAATTCTAAACCAAAGATAAAATATTTAATCATCATAAGAAATAATTACTAAAAATTTAGCCGTATAAAAATTTGCATAGCAAAAACCTCAGTAATTAAATTATAAGATGCTCACAACCTTGGAGAAAATATTTTCAACATGCGTCACATATGAAAGGATTAAATGAAGTGTCAGAGCTCATAAAAATTAAAAGGAAAGAATATCACAGGTCTAATAGATGTTCAAAATGTGTAAAAATAAATTCTAAATAACCCTTAAAGAAATAGAAGATATTCAACCTTACTCATAAGAAAAATAAAAAGTAAACTACCTAAATACCAACCCTACTTAAATTAAAAATTGAAAACCCTTGATAAAACAGTCTGCTTACAAGGCCATGAGGGCTGAGATTTCTCAAATGTTACTGGAGAACACAAACTAGTCCAATGTATATTGACTAAAATTTCCATTAATGCAATATAAGGTAATTACATTTTGTTATATTGATAAAATTGTTGTTTACTCTTTCTTTGGCAAACCAAGAACTGTAAATCTATCCTGAAAACACAGATTTAAATCTGGTTGTAAAATGTTGGAAATCAACTACATCATCAAACATGTAGATTTGTTTAAATAACCTCTTTGGTTCTATTTTATATTTTGGCCTGCAGCGAGGCAACTGCATAAAACTTTGCTTGAAATAAATCAGTTTTGTTGTGAATATTTTTCTCTGAAACAGGCAATTTTATAATTAAAACTTTAAAATTATACTCCATGGAACTCTAGGTTTCTGCTTCATTCTGCAAGGTGTAAACAAAAAAATAAATAAATAAAGATGGGCAGTTGAGAATCAATGACTTTTTGTGACTCATTAGAGGACTAAATACCCAGAACGTAAAGCCAATCAGAAATCTGAAGGACATGTTCATCCAGAGAGAGCTAATAACCAGGTTCTGCTTTCCTGGAACAGAAACCACTGGAGCATAAATTCATAGGAATATTTAAGTGATTCATTTTGAAAAATTGCTTTAGGCTTACTGTGATCAGTGAGAGAGTGAAAACCCCCCTGGGTAGGGCACACCGTCTTAGAGGATCCATCCAGCACTTGCCTGGACTTTTCCTGAGACATTCTGCGCCCGCCCTTCTCATAATTGAATGCCTTCATTGCTCTGGCAGGAGAAGGGAGACAAATCACTGTGAACAGCACTAAGGAAGTCTCAGCAAAACCCTACTCCTCTGCCATGAGACATCTATAGCAAAGTCTCATTCAAGGTAGGGAAAGAGAAATTCCTCACATACCCATCAACCTTTCCTTTCTTTCCTGAGAGAAAGTGGAGGGCAGGAGTCAGAGACTGAAGCAAATGGATTGTGAATGTGGCACTCAGCATGGAGAACAGTCAGTGAAAAAATACTTGTGGAAGTAGATCTCCTTTCCAGAGGTTCACTGATCTAACTAGAAGATTATATAAATCCCCTGTCATTCACACCTTACCAACAATTCAAAGAGCTGTGAGGTGCAAAGTTAGTCTGAGGAGTGCTGGGAGGTCTGGAGCCTACAAGAAATAAAACACAAGAATACTAAAGAAATTTAAAGCTTCCAGCATACACGTATGTCTCCAACAAATACACAGCCTAAACTGGAGCTGGTTTAACAAAAATATCTAACATTCCTAGTTTTACCAATTAAACTACATCGTGTGCCAAGAGGTAAGAAAAACCCTAGCCTACAAAGAAAAATAAATCATTTGAACCAAACTCAGGCGAGTTACAAAGTTTGTACGAGACAAATAATTTTGATGAATACATTTAAGGATTGAGATGCGGATCAGTGGCAGAGTGCTTGTATAGCACATGTGAGGCTCTGGGTTCAATAAAATGCATTTTTTTCCCTCATTGCGTTTATCTGTACATTTTAGGTATACAGTACAGTTACATTCATCATTGGGATCTTGTACCTTTACATGACAAGGTCTTGGTTCTCATTTTTCCCCCTTGTCCCTGCCCTCCCTTCACCCAATAAAATGCATTTTAAACTATGATTATTATGGTAAGGATTTGGGTTGGGTAAGTAGACAACATAGACAAAATACAAGGACAATGAGCTCAGAAAAAGTGATGGAAAGTCTGCTAAAGATGTGGAAGAAAAATAATAATGTAGGGAGGAAATGTAACTTTTTCTTTACTTTCATGATTAAAAAACTTTTTTTCTTGGTACATGCTTGTAGTAAACAGTGTTTACATTTCTTGTGTGGTGGTGGTACAGTACCCTTCAAGGTTTCTTAGCCGTAATTCCCTGTGACAAAAGACAGATTTACAAGAGAAAAACCGGTATAAATTCATTAATACATATCTCATATGCATGTGGAAACTAAACCAAAGAAATGATCACATTTCTAGAGTAGACCTTAAAGAGTTATTTTGTTGTCAGAGTCCTGTTTTAGAGGGGGATTGACTTCAGTCCCAACAAACCAGGTATGGCCACTTGTGGTAAGCATCGAATGGAAAAAAATAATGGTGAAAAGAAAGAAAAGTATTAAAATCAAACAGCTATATCAGGAAGATATCTTCCTCCCTAGTTTGGAAGTATTGAATAGGGGAACTGGGGAGGGAGGCAGAGATATGTCTAATTAAGCAGTCTTGGGCCAACTGTGGGCTTCTTGATCACCATCTTGGGTTGGGTTCTGTGAGATGGCTCTGGAGAAGTTAGCATTTGAGATAAAATTTTTTCCTATCACAAGACAATCATTATTATTGGGATGAAGCAACCTCATCGTGGTTCATTATTTCTGGAAGGCTAAGAGCAAGGACTAGAGACTGCTAGGTGCCATTCTGTTGGTCTAAACAGGTAATTTATTTTGTATAACACCAATAGCACAAGCAATAAAATAAAATAATGCATGAACTAGAATTTACCAAAATTAAAGATTTTGTTTCAAGGGATATCATTAAGAAAGTGAAAAATCCACAGAATGGGAGAAAACAATGATAAATCATATATTTAATTAGGAACTTGAATATAGAATATGTACAGGTTCTGAAATACAAAAAACAAACTCTGCTTTTTTCCTCTCATAATAAAAATAACAGTATTCATGCATTGGTTATTATTTGATTTCGTGATTGTCATCATTTCTGGGATAAGATCATAGGTATCTGTACTTTTGCTCAATTCTCAAGTAATATATTGCTTATTTATCTTGGAAAATATTTAATTATAGTTACACAACATAATTGTGTACAGTTTCAATGTCAGCCAAAGACAATTTCTGATAAAGACAAAATTATTAACATTTTATTGAGTCAAATGTTCATGGTTATACATTACACTAGGTTTTATATTATCAACTATAAAAACAAGCCAGGGATTTTTGAAAGTATCAATGTTTACTTGAACACAGAGCATACACATATGTTAATCATAGGTTTGCAAGCAGGAAAGATCATCCAACACTGTGTATTCCATCTTATGTGCCATTGAGGTCTTCAGTGGTTGCCTGAGAATTTAAGGTCCTAGTCGAGAAGATTCCAGTTGATTGCAGGATCCACGACAAGAGAGTATGACAATAAAAGACACAAGAACATGAACTCAGCCTTGCTCAGCAATTGCCACCATGCAAAAAGCCCAATTTTCCTTTACTTTGCCTGTAATTAAAGGTGATAGTGAAAAAAAAATCATAAATTATTGAAAGAACATATTTAATTCCCTGAGCATTGCATGAAATATGTCTTATTGAGGAGAAGATGCGCAAGGGCACTAGCAAGCTGGGGAGTCTCCACTCCTCTCCGACAGGTGTTCCCTCAGCCTGGAAGGAATCCTGCCCCCCATCTCAGAGGATTCAACTCTTCCTACATACACCCAGCCCTGACTCAGTTTTGGATCTGCTCTAAGAGGAGGATTACAGATATTGGCTTAGTGGTTCTCCAGGTGTAGAACCCACTTTTGAGGTTATGTGTTCAAAATTTTACGGAAAGAAACCCTTGTTAGAGAAAATGTAGAGGGAGGTAGAAAGGCTGGTTGAGCCTTGAGGCTACAAACTCCTTCCGAGTGAGGGAGCTGGAAGGTGGGTTGAGAGGACATGTCCTAGGCTTGCTTGCACTCTAAAGTTTCCTGTCACAAAGTTTGGTGGACAAAGTGGATTATTAGAGAGTCTTCCATAATATTAGTGGACGTGATTAATTTAAGAGTTCAGAAATTAGATTTCTTGCTCAGTTACACTCTCTGTACCTTGGCGATCCATCCTGGAGATTATCAATCTCATCTGGACTTCAAAATTACACTATATTGATCAACAGGCTGCCAGTGGTAATTCATAATGATCATACTTGGTTAAATTAATCAGTTTATAAATGCATAAAACAGAGTTACTTTGAGAGGTAAAGTGCAAAATAACTTTTATAAATTCAAGAAAAGGTGAAAATGTGTTCTTGTTGCTTTACAGAGATAGCACTTTCTGTTTATGTTTTTCTAGGTCATCAAAAGATATGTTTTCCTATCATTTTTTGACAATTTCATCATTACTTTAGAGGAGCTGACATTTAATAGTTTTAATCTTGTGTTCTTACAACTTTTTAGTGCAGAAAACACATCTGTTGCTGTAAGTAATGTCATCAGTTCCACAGACTGGATCCATTTCTCTGGTGCAGAGGTATGGGACAGCTGCATATTTTTTACAGTTTATCTACAAAACAAAGTGACATCATAAAACTTATCAAATAATGAACTTTTAGGACTAAAACGCTCTTCACACTGAATGCCATACATCTAAGTGGAATAAACATATGCACTATTAAAGTTTAAAAATACACATTAAGGTAAGTACAATCCTATTAAATATGAACTATTATCAAAGTATTTTTACTAACTAAATATTACTTTTTTAAAAAGCCACACAAAGATTAACTATTTTTATAATTGATCTATTCTGTCACAACTTCTCTTCAGGCATAGGTCAAATCTCCCTCGTGATTGTATATTACCAAAAAAAAAAAAAAAAGGAATTAA